TTTTTTTTTTTCAGCACGATGCCTTTTCTCCTTCATTTTCTGAACTACAATGTGACATTTAGGACCTAAAACAGTTTTTCTAGCAGCACAATATTCTTTATGGAAGAAGGATACCATCTCAAATATGTGTTTAAGTGTCTTTCATTTGTGTACAGGCACAACTACCTTGTTTTGTATCCGTAGTTTTAGAAGCTCCTATTCATGATCAGCCTATCATCGTTGTACAAAAATTGGTTCGAAAATCTATAGATGTGTATGAGAGGAATTGAACTTTGAACTAAATGATTTCAAATCCATTAAATTCATTTTAATGCTAATGCATTATAAATCCTTCTATTCTGAACGACTTTCGAGTCAAATAGGTGATTTTTTTTAATCCATCATATATGGAGTCCTTAGAAATGCTTCCTACAGCTCTCTCCCCAAACCTGAATCTTTTCTTTCAAATCCATCCTAAAGAATTTTAATGCATTTGACATAGAGGTTTCAGTTTGTGATTTTCCATGTTTGCAAATAACATAGCTTTGTGTAGGGTTATCTTTACTGGAAGTTAATGCCTCATTAATTTTTGTGTCCAAATTGAGGGGTTATCTATTTACGCGATCTGTGGAGCTAGAACTCGACCTTTAGCCAATATATTTCAAACTCTACTTGTTTCTCCAACTCGCGCTCGAAGCGAAGAAAATCGTGGTTAGTTCGTTCAACTTGTTTTGGATTTTTAAGAGCGCATTGCTTATTTTAAACACGTATACAATGATATATGGCACGAGAAGTACCTAGTTTTTTTCTTTTGGGTTGTGTACTTTTGTGATACCCAGACTCATTACCATTCTATTCAAAACTTCTAGAGGAATTCAATTGGTCAATGTATGTAGATTCCAAATGTTCATCATTTATGCAAATCCCTTTCAGGAGGTGTGATTGCGACTTCCCGGATGAATGGTTCAAGATGCTAACGCTGGCCAAAGTTCACCCTTAATGCATTATATTGTTCTTGTTTCATGACTATTGATAGACTACAATCCTGTCACTTGTAGAGTGGAACAGTGGTAGTACACTTTTGTGGATTTAAATTTTGTGTATATATATAAAAAGGAAGACTCGATCACGATTTATGAATGCGCGGCCAAATCTGGTTTGTTGAGCGCGAATTGTATTTGTTTATGTTATAAGAGTACGATTCAAGCTCGACATGTTATCAACATAATATTTAAGACTACAAAAGTGACATCTTGTATAATGTATCTCTTTATGTGCCTTGAAAATTTTCACATAAATGAACTCAAGTTTTCTTGTTTCTATAACTATATATAGAAGGTTCGCATCTGTATACATAGATCACTTAAGAACACTCGCTTATCCTATAAATCATTACAGAAGTTAGGTTCATAAAGATGGTAAACCGAGAGGCACATTTGCACCGGATCACAATTACCACTGATCAGTAGAAGATCTTTCCAAAAAAAAAAAAAATCTTACATTTGGCGCCATACTTGTTCACTACAACAATCGCTTTAAAGATATGAGGAGATAGGTGCCCCTTAAGTTATATGTGGTGATTCAGGTGTGATACAATACAGTTTCAAGTTGATCCTCAATTTAGTGAGGAATCAGAAATATTTAGTAAATTGGTGTTCTTTAAAGAGATCATCCGAAATAAAAGGTTTCAGGATTTATCGTCTCGTCTCTCCAAAATGAAGACATTTCCTTTGTCGTCTCTGCCAATTCTCAAAGAATCATCAACATATCTGTGATCACAAATATGAAGGGCAGCGATCAAATAATCAGTTCCAGATAAGATCATTGACATGAAGTCTACATGAAATGTAAAAATCCTAGTAAAATAAAAGGGTAACATACGTGGTCTCGAGCCAGCCCTCTGGACTGAAGATTCCCAGGAGAAGGTCGTAGTTTTTGCTGAACACATTCATCAGCTATTCCCATCAAGAAACATCACAGTGGAGAGCATGCAAAAATAAATAAATAAATAAAAATAATCAGTTTCTTAAATTTCGATCCCATAAGTTAGTCGTAATCAAGTTCCATCGAGTGTACTTTTACTATTTTCTTTCTTAAACACGTACCTGATCAGGAGTTATCATTGACTTGTCGTAACTGATATCAACTCTCTATACAAAGATTAAAACACCAAAAAAGAGAAAAAAAAAAAAATATCATTCCCTGTGAATATGTCTGACCTCATCATAATCGTAACGGGCATATAGATTACAAACACTCACTGATTCGGAGACGACTTTAAATGAAGCTTCAATTGTTAACTGTCCAGACAACATATTCAGTCCTCTGGCACTGAACTTGATCACGTTAACTGCTTTGCCCTCCATTCGACATCAAATAATACCATTGGATGTTAGTGAATGAAAGAATCATACATAGAGTGTAGTTGCACACATGAAGCTTAAATAATACTCCCTACATGCAGCACTGTAGGCAACATTACTATTTCGGGTCGAGTTTTGTGTTTGGCCTGAATTCAATTTATACGGTTACCAATTAAATAAAGTATGTTTATACTTTACTTTCCCAAGAATAATGATCGTGTCGTCTTTTACACTTAAATTTAGTAATTTCTGATCTTGGGTGCTTGCAGGGTCATAATTCTGTAGCTTCATCTACATACATGGCTAAAACTTGAGCTTCCTCTTTCCATCTTTCAGAATTAGAAAGGAATACGTTTTCGATTTATCATATACATGTGCTTTTGCTATCGTAAGGAAAACAGAAAGGGAATATCCTCTCTAATTAGATATCAACAGTTTTGCTACGAAACCAACAGAGAAACACCTTCAATGCAGCATTCAAAAGGGAAAAAAAAAAA